GTACCACTTTACTCCTGTGCGTGGTCACTGCCTGCCCTTCCCTTCCCCTGCGCAGATCATGACCACGATTCCTCACCCATCGTCTGCAGTTGAGCCCGCGAGCCCTCGGTGCTTCCTGCAGGCCGGTGGCACAGCTCGCCCAGAGGCACGTGGCCAGTTTTTTGCGCCTGGGTGATGGTGCCGAGCTCGCGATCGCCCTCCCTGAAAGTACGGTGGGGGCGTTGGTTCAGGAACGTGCACGGGAGGCCTCATACCCTGGAGGGACCCTCACTTGACGAGGGCGGCGGTGACATCCACTGCCGATCCGCGATTGGAGTTCCATTGGCTTCGAGACCCTGGATTCCTTATCGAAGGTTTCCTTATCCCACGCCCCCACCGTAGTGATTGCTGCCCAGAGATGTTGCAACCCCTTGAAATACTTTCCAGTCCACTGCGCACTGATGTCGCCCGCCAGGGCTCTGGGCGCAATCGAAGGCTATCCCGCCGATTTCCAGCAGCCTGTGCAACGGCACCGTGACCAGGAAGCACGCGTGAGGGCACCCGGCCAAAATGCACTGCTTCGTTGTGATGTTCTCGCTGACCGATCCGAACGTTGTCCGCAACCGTCGTGGCTGCCAGTACAGCTCCAGCAACATCCAGGCAAGTCTTGAGTCTATGTCCACCGCTCTCGCCTCCTCGAGAAGCGCCTGAGGCTGGGTGGTTCCGAAGAAGTTTGTTCGCAGCCATCACGACCGAACGGGTGTGCTCGCCGTGTGTCTCAGCGATCTCCCGTTCCGAGTTCAATTGGAAAGCCGAGTCCGGTGACGTGCGACTTGGCCCCAGCCCCCAGATATCTTGACTGGTGCTCCAGCACCCACTGCTTTGATATCGGTACTCTGACTCTAGACTCTAGACCACGTTCTGATGATGCTGCCCGTGAGTGTGATGAGCCTGTAGCCCCCCGCTGGCCTTGGGGGCAATCGGACCATCTCGTGCCAACAGCTCTCATCAGGCCAGGCCAACAAGGACTCGCAGCACTCGAACAGGGCCCCGAGCACGTACAGCCTGTGGTCCGAGAGCTGCGGGAGCGCTCTCAGACCGATCCTTCCTGGTCCCCTAGCTGTCCTCGTAGAGCAGGCGAAGCCGGCGCCTGCTCCGTCGTGCCTTCCGCGATGGGTGGTAAGACCGACCACGACAGGAGCAGGGTTTCGCACCGCCACCCGTTGCCGCTGCCAGGCTCCTTTGAGTGGCCATCGGCAGTGACCGCAAAGGTCGACGGGTCGCAGCGATCGCGCCTAGGATCACACCTACGGCACCACTGCGGATTGAGGCACCGACCAGGATGCTGCATCTCGAGGGACTTGTAGGCGCTCGGGACCATGGCATCGGCCCCCAAACGGGGTGGTGACCACACCGTGTGGTCAGTCGGTGTGGATTCGGGGTCACCGCACGGGTTTGGGACTCGAGCCCCTCTCCGAGGATGCCTCGGGCGACGGGGGGCCTCCAGGGTCCCAGGGCCGTGCGGTGACGGACCGTGCGGTGAGGTCTCTTGGGGGTCCCGAGGTCACCGCACGGTCTGTCACCGCACGGCCTTGGGATCCCCAGCATACACCCGCCCAAAAGGAGCCATCTCGCGATCGCGGGCTCGGCAAGGGCACGCTGCACCGGGGGGGCCCCGGCAGGCCGACCGCACCGCCCGCAGCTCCTCGAGAGCTCTGCGTCCTCGTGCGCTCTGCTCGCGCCGTTCTGGAAAAATGTCGCGCGCGAGCTCGAGCCAGGTGTCGAAGAAGAAAACACGCCATGAACATAAACTTTGGCGCTCCGCGCGGATTTCTTGGATCCGCGATGGGCCTCCCCCGGCGGCGCCTCCAGCGCCGCCCCGAGCGCGCTCCGCGCGCCAGGGAGGCGGGGTCCAGCGCGGATCCGAGGAATCGGCGCGGAGCGCCAAAGTTTATGTTTATGTCGTTTTTTATTCTCCTAAGGTCGCCTGCTTCACCGCCAAAGCCCTGTCGTTGCGCATCTTGCAGCCCTCGACGATGCTGCCGGCAATCTCCACCGTGATTGTTGCGTCCTGACGCTGCCATATCGTGCCAGAACACCGTTCCCAGTGCTGCAGCACGGTGAAACAACGTGACGGTTGCGTCCTGACAACCCTAAATCGTGCCAGAACACCACTCTTGGGACTTCAGCCACACGAGCCCTTGAAACTGCTGTAAACTTTTAAGACGAATGTGCGCGGCGCTAAAGCGAGAGCCACATTGTGCACACGGCCCGCCTTCCATCTTCGAAGTTGTACTAAAGTCTTCTGACGAATGTGCGAGGCGCTAAGGCGAGAGCGACATTTTGAATACCAGCTGCCCTCCATGATTGAAGCTTCTGTCAGCTTTTGAGGCGAATGTGCGCGGCGCTAATGCGAGAGCAACATTTTGAAAACCAACCGCCCTCCATTATTGAAATGTTGCGAACTGTTAGGGCGAATGTACGCGGCGCTAAGGCGAGAACAACATTTTGAACACGGCCCGCCCTCCATCCTTGCATCTGCTGCAAACTTGAAGCTTCAGGATTGCACATTGTAACGAAATCCCAGGCGAAACGCCCAGCCCGCCCTACCGACACGTATGGGGTATCTACAAGGAGGAGTAACCAACCAACGAACACATGAATGGAGGAGGGAGGCAGGAGGAGAAGGAGGAAGAGAAGAAGGAGGAGGGGGAGGAGGAGGAGGAGAGGAGGAGGATGATGCTGATGCTGATGCTGATGATGGTGATGATGAGGATGATGCTGATGCGGATGACGATGAAGATGATGAGGATGATAATGATGCTGCTGATGATGATGATGATGACGATGATGATGATGATGATGATGATGCTGATGATGATGATGATGATGATGATGATGATGATGATGATGATGATGATGATGATGATGATGATGATGATGATGAGATGATGAGGGGGAGGAGGAGGGAGGAGGAGGAGGAGGGAGGAGGAGAGGAGGAGGAGGAGGAGAGTGGGTGGAGCAGGCCTTCTGTCCCTTGTCCTCAAAGCGGTTACCGAGGCGGCCTCGAGTCGACGCTATAATTCCACGAGTCCGATCCGAGTCTCCTCCTCCTCCTCCTCCTCCTCCTCCTCCTCCTTCAGCACTCCCAGCAATACCCATCACCCCTCCCTCCCTGGAGCGGTGCGGTGACCCCAGTCGGTGGGTTTTGTCGGGCTTCCCGGGGCCTTGGTTTCTCAGCTCCTGGGAGGTCCGCCCGCCTCAGGAGGCGCTCCAGCAGCGGCGCCTCGCCGAGAGCGCGCCAGGGGTGCCCCCACCGCGTGGGGTGACCACAGCGTTGGGGGGGGGGGGGCTGGGCTCGGAGGGGCTCGAGGCGAGCACTTCTCGGAGGTGTGCCTCGGCTCTCGGCGGCCTTCCGGCCTCGGGATGACTCCCAGCGGCTGCGCCTCGACTCTGGACGCCCGACATGGGTACGGAAAGAGTGGGTACGATGCCCAACAGCAGTTCCTGTTCATTTTGAGCATGGCTCGCTGTCCGCGCCGCCGCGGCCTGTGTCCCCTTGAGACAGAAGGCCGCCTGCCCAACAGCGGCCGCTGTTGGTTTGGGACAACATTTGTTGTTGGGCATTGTACCCATTCTTTCAGTACCCATTTCGGGTGTCCAAATCGACGCGGGCATTCTGGGGGGGTGCCCGGATCGTCCCGCACGGCCGCTGGAGACCCGAGGTGTGGCCCGGAAACCAAGCATGCGGGGTGGCCGCGCGGTTTTTGGGCCTTGGGTCATTCTCCATGGGCCTCTCGGGCGACTGTGGCCTGCAGGGTCGCAACACCGTGCGGTGACGGTCCGTGCGGTGAGGTCTCTTGTGATGTCGGGGTCACCGCACGGTCTGTCGCCGCACCGTTTTGGGACCCCCGAGCATGTGGGAACCCTACCCCTGAGGGTCTGATCGACGCTGGGGTATCGTACGCAGCCGCTGGGCTTCACTCGGCCGCAGGCGTTCTTCAGCCTCTGAGGCCCTGGCCAGCGTTTCCAGGATCTGACGTGCAGGGGTACATGTGTGGTTGCCAAGAAAACTCTGATGAGATGACGTGACCTTGTGGGAGGCCCGTGTTTGGACGACGACGCAGAAAAACTCATGGGGGGTAAAAAGCTTCGGTGAACACAGACGAGGGCGAAGCCCTAATGGCGATGGGGGAAGGCCCTGGTGACGACGAGACAAGGCCAGTAGCCCCAAGCTGAGGAAGTAGGACCTCACTCGCCCACCAGGTGCCTTCCTTCGCCGTCGCCGTCGAGAGTGGAGGATTTAGTTCGTTTGGTGGACATCGTTGTTCCTGTCTTGTGCCTCCCAGAGGCCTCACGGGACCTCTGGAGACTTCCAGAGAGGCCTCGATGGTCTCTCTCTCTCTCTCTCTCTCTCTTCCGCTGCTCTCTCCTCCATCTTCTCCTCTCATCTCCCTTCTCCCGTCCGCCATCCTATCCTCCCTCCTCTCTCATCTTGGCCTTCGTGGTCCAATGCTTTTGTTTCGCCGCCAGGGCAGGCCTGATAGGACCAACAGCTTCATCTTCGCAGAGCCTTGCCGGGCGAGTCTCACCATTCAATGCTTCCCTCTCCTCTCCGCTCCGCTCCGCTCCGCTCCTCTCCGCTCCTCTCCTCTCCTCTCCTCTCCGCTCCTCTCCTCTCCTCTCCGCTCCTCTCCGCTCCTCTCCACTCCTCTCCTCTCCTCTCCTCTCCTCTCCTCTCCTCTCCTCTCTCCTCTCCTCTCCTCTCCTCTCCTCTCCTCTCCTCTCCTCTCCTCTCCTCTCCTCTCCTCTCCTCTCCTCTCCTCTCCTCTCTCTCTCTCTCCTCTCCTCTCTCTTCCCTCTCCTCCCTCTCCTCTCCTCTCCCTTCAAGCGACATGCTTCCCTTCTACCCTCCCTCTTCCCCACTCCGAGTCGCCTCTTCCATCCCTGCCTGCACTACCTCCGTCCTCCCCTCCCCTGCAGCCCCCCCTCTCTCGTCCACGGTGGCCTGGGCGTGGCAGGTTCGTGCTGTCGAAGCCGAAGGCTGACCATCCGAGCGAGGAGGCCTCGCCGAAGAAGCAGAAGCCCGCTCCAGGGCCAAGGACTGGGCCATCAGATGCACCGCCAGCTTTTCTTCAGAAGGTCTGTCTGAGCCTGCGGGGTCAACGCACCAGTCTCCATCATTCCATATGCCAAATGCAGAGCGAGTATGGAATCAATCGGGGTGTGAAGAGTGGAAGCCGTTTATCGCACCCATCGATAAATTTGCACCAGCTGGGCAAGCGCAGAAGAAGTGCATGAGACATGACACTGTAGCACACGTGCACATGCAAGTGGGGATCTGTGTTGTGACACGCGTTGATCATATAAAGTGTGGTTGCACGATGCCGCGATGCAAACTTCTAAAACGTCCGTTGAATTTGACTATCGACTAGACGTAAGAGTGACCTTTCGCAGGAGTGACCTTTGGTGCGGGCACAGACGGGTCCCCAGATGGCTGAAAATGAAGCAGTAGCAGCTGCTTGCGCGCCCAGGTTTGGTCCCCCCGTGGCCCCCAAAAAACCGCGCACCAAAGGTCACTCTTACCCAGTGTCACCCTTGCGTATAGCCGAGACGAGTAAGTGGTACGATCAAGGGTGGAGCTGGTCAATTGCGCGCAGAGCTTGCTTGCGGTACCAATGATCGACAACTGACTTATCACTTGCTTTGTGCGCTCCCAGGCCATTCACGCGCAGCTCGCTGCTGCGACCCGCGCCATCACAAAATGCGTGAGACTGCGAGCAAAGCGCGTGCCCGAACGACGCCCTTGGACCACTCTCTGGGACAGTTCAAAATGGATCCGTCTCAGTGGCCTCCTGGGCCGTCTTGAGGCTGTCTTGGGCCGTCTTGGCGCCCTCTTGGGGGCGTCTTGGGCCGTCTCGGGGCGACCTTGGCGGCCTCGAGGGCCGTCCAGGAGCTCCGGAAGCCAGGTCATGATGCGAACCTCTCTCGAACGCAACGGGAAAGTCCGTACCCTTTGCCTCTTGGGGCCCTCTTTTGGAGAGCTCTCCTCAGGGCCCTCTTGGGGGCGTCTCGGGGCCCTCCTGGGGCCTCTCGGGAGCGCTCGGGGGCCGCGCCGAGGCCCTCTTGGAGGCCGCCCTGGGAGGGAGCCTCTCGGGGCCGTCTCGTGGCCCGTGCTGGCGCCCCCCGGGCCTCGGGGCAGGTCGCGCGACGGGCCCCGAGAGGCGCGCGCGGGGAAGCCTCCACGTCGGGCATGCCCCTCCTGCAGGAGGCAGATGCACAGGGTTCGCTTCGATTCCTCCGATTCGATTCGATTCGATTTCGATGGATTCCGATTCCGACTCGATTCGACTTGGGATTCCGATCTGGGTTCCGACTCTTTATTGGACGCATACTAGCCTGCCGATTTCCGCCGATTCGACTTTTCCCGACTCGGCTGCCGATTTCCGCCGATCCGACTCATTTCGATCGCCGATCCGACTTGTCGATCCGATTCTGGGCTCCCCTGGATGCACCGATAGCCAGCGCGTGAGCTGGGGGCGATGTCTCCATGCCAGCTTTTGGCGAAGCTTGAGCTCTTCTTCTGGGACTTATATGTGAAAAGTCTGCTTCCAACATCCGCCAGTGGGAGGACGGGCCCGGCCTGAGGGATCTGCACGAACGAGATGGGCACGGAAAGAATGGGTACGATGCCCAACAGCAGTTCCTGTTCGTTTTGAACAGGACTCGTTGTCCGCGCCGCCGCGGCCTGTGTCCATTTGAGACAGAAGGCCGCCTGCCCAACAGCGGCCGCTGTTGGTTCGGGGCAACAGTTGCTGTTGGGCATTGTGCCCACTGTTTCCCTGCTCATTTCGGGCGTCCGAGGAGGGAGGCCCCAGGAGCTCCCGTCGGGGCCGTGGGCCCCTCGCAGGGCAGGCGCTGCGGTGCTCCTCCACGGCGCGGGGGGCGGGAGAGGACCTGTGGCGGCTGGCGGCGGCAGGAGAGGCGGGCGGCGGCCCTGGCGGCGGCGGCGGCCCTTGCAGTGGCACCCTGCCAAACAAGCGCCCTGCTTGCCTCCAGGGGTGCCCTGGGCCTCTTGGGTTTCGAGGGTCCTGCCGTGGGCGCTGTCGACGTTCCCGGGCCGAAGACCGCGACCTCGCAGCGTTCGGCCTCCAGGGGCCCTGGCCGAGCCTCGGGACGGGCAGCAGAACGACTCGGGAGCAGAAGCCGGTCCTGGGCCGTGGGTCGAGCTTTCCGGGGACGCCGCATTGGAAAAGTCACGACGTTGGGCCTCTGGGAGGGTCGGCGGCGGCAGGCGCCCGGGGCGGTGGCGGCGGCGGCGGCCGCGGCCCATGCCGCCCGCCGCTGGCTTCGCGGGCCCCCTCCGCCTTTCGCTCCGCCTGGCCGCGGCGGTCGCCTCCGCTGCGGTTTGAGGGCTGCGTGCCACTGGCACGGCCACGGAGGCAAGGCCACGGGCTTTTCGCCCAGCGCGCCCACCCCTTCTGCAGCTGCAGCCTGAGGGCGCTCCGCTTCGTGCCTCGGGGCACGGTTGCTATCATCTCGGCCCCTGTCAACGCAGGTGATCTTGATGGCCCTTTGTGCGAGTCCTGCGTGTCTCTCTCGTGGAGGTCTCGGGCCTACCCTGGGGCTGCATTCAAGCTCCCCTCGATCGCCCACGGGGCCCTCTTGGGGGGCACGTTGTAGCCATTGTCAGCTTTCGAGCAGCCTCGGGGAATCATTCCAGGGTCTGCGCTGGAGGAGGAGCGCGATTACCTGGGGGCCGCCATTGGCGTTAAATCGGGCACGTCCCTCTACAGGGGGAACATTCAAAAATAGTCACAAAAATAGCCTGGGGACTTTTTTTTTGGGGGGGTGGGGGGTATTTTTGGTATATTTTTTATTTTTCGTTCCAATAGCAGCTGTAGGAGGACACGCCCGACCTAACATTGGCGTGCCAGCCAGGATCTGGCCTCCCTGGAGCAGCCCTGCGACTTCACGGCCGCTAGGCCGTGCGCGGGCTTTCCTGGAGATGCCTCTGGGGGCCTCTGCTCCAAGAGGCCCACTCCGGGCCTCTGCTCGGGATCTCGGGGGTGCCCGCCCTCGCTGCGCCTGGCAGGCCCACGGCACGCGTGGCGCACCAGGCGTACCTGGCGCACTGCGCGCTTGGCACACCAGGAGGAGGAGGAGGAGGAGGAGGAGGAGGAGGAGGAGGAGGAGGAGGAGGAGGAGGAGGAGGAGGAGGAGGAGGAGGAGGAGGAGGAGGAGGAGGAGGAGGAGGAGGAGGAGGACGACGACGACGACGACGACGACGACGACGACGACGACGACGACGACGACGACGACGACGAGGACGATGTCGAGGACGACCTCGAGGGCGAGGGAGAGAGCGAGGCAGAGACCAGGACAAGGACGATGTCGAGGGCGGTGTCGAGGACGATCCTCCGCCACGCCCGGAGCGCCGCGCCTGGCGCGCACGGCGCGCGCGGAGCGCCCGGCGGGCGTGGCGCGCCCAGCGGGCGTGGTGCTCCGAGCACCTGCGGGACAGTCGCGCCCCCCGCGTCGCGCGCCTCGGCCAGAGCGGCGGCCCTGCCCTCCGAGGGGGCGGCGCGGGGGCGCGAGGGGTGCGGAGAGAAGCGCGCGCCGTGCACCGCGGGCGACGTTGGGCGGCTTGGGGGCCTCTGGTCACCAGAGGTCCCCAAGCCGTTCTCCTTGTCTCCGTTTCCGTTTTTTTTCCGTCGTTTCTAGAGGTCCAGAGGCCACCTCTGCCGTTTTCTCATCGTTCTCATTGCCGTTTTTTCACCGTTTTCGGTTGCCGTTTTCTTACCGTTTTCATTTTCAAGAGGCACCTTTTCGAAAACAGTAAAAAACCGGCCCTGCTGTTTCCGGGGCCCACTAAGCTCTGGTGCACGTGGTACGCGTGGAGCATCTGCAGCAGTCGGCGCGCCTGGCGCCTGCGGCGCGCCCGACGCAGTCTGTCGCCGCTCGTTTGCGTGGGCGTCGTCCGTCCTGGTCGTCCAGGTCTGTCCCCCGTGCCAGGTCCTGAGTCTTGAGTGCCACTTGGAGCGTTCCAAAAATCGCCTTGCCTTCGAGGATCGAAGGAGTTGTCATCTCTTCCGCCGCGGAAGGCGGCGGAAGGGCGGCGGAAGGGCGGCGGAAGTGAAGCGCGGCCGCCTCCGCCAGCGGAAGCCGGCGGAAGGCCGGCGGAGGGCCAGCGGAAGTAAAAAGCGTTTTTTGGGTTCAGGGTTTCCGGAATCCGCCACTTGGCGCAAGCTCCGCGGAAGGCTGGCGGAAACAACGGCGGATCGTCTTCCACCAGAAGCCAGCGGAGAAGAGGCGTCAGCACGTGTGGGCTCGGGGCCCCCGGAGTCGGCCGCTCACCTGCCGGTTTCCGTGTGGTGATCTGTTTCTTATTCATTGTTTTGCCGATCGGCGCGGGCCCTCGCGCTCTCTCCCCCCCGCCTGGAGTAGATCTTGGCTGTTTTTGGCGCCTGTTTCGAGCAGGTGGAGTCTCCCCCACAGGGCGCACTGTTGCAAACAGTCGCATTGAGCAGAGATCCAGAGCCAGACCCCCCGCCCTCCCCCCCCTCCCCGCCCAATGTCGAAACGCCGAATAAGAAAACGCTCACGTGGGATCTGGCCCCCGCCCCCTCCCTCATCCCCCTCAATTTAGAATATTATTTTTGGGAGGCTGATTCCATTATCTGCGCTGGTATCTCCGTGGTTGAAAGCAGACCTAATCCGGCGCAGCCCCGCTCAATCCCGTCTAGCCCAGCCTCATCGGTCCGTCTTGATGGTACCTTCATGGGGCACCGTAGCCCTTACGAAGACCTCCCAGGAGTTGCTTTCTCACCCCCTCTCCTCCTCGCCGTTTCTGCCTCTGTCCCTTTCCCTCTTCATCCCCCCGCCCTCAGCGGGCGAAGAAGGGCAGGAGGTATTTTTTCCCGCCGTCGTGGACGCCTGCCCCTCCCTCCTGGCGGCTGAAAGTTTATGCCCTTGCGGTGCTGCGTGGGGGTAGATAGAAGCTTTGCAGCTGCCCGGGGGCAGGCGTTCCCGACGGCGGACACGGCCCCCCTCCGCCGAGCCCTGTGGGGCGGGGCCGGCGGGCGCCTGGCACAAGGAGTCTTCGCCGTCTCTCTCTCTGAGCGCGCTTCTGCGCCTGCCCAAAACGCTCCCAGACGTTCCCCCCTCCTCCTCCTTTTCCTCACCCTTCTCCTCCTCCTCCTCCTCCTCCTCCTCCTCCTCTTCCTCCTCCTCCTCCTCCTCCTCCTCCTCCTCCTCCTCCTCCTCCTCCTCCTCCTCCTCCTCCTCCTCCCCCATACCTCCCCCTCCCCCTTGAACCCGCTCCTCTCCCTCCCCCATCTCGCTGGTGCCCGCAGCGAGGAAGAAGGAGAAGGCGAGCTTGCCGACGCCGTCAGCGCCAGCGCCGGCGCCGCTCCCGGAGCAGGCAACCGCCGCCGCCTGATGCGGGCTGGGGGTGCGCCGGCTGTGAGGCAGGTTCGCGCCGCGTCGACGCTGCGGCGACCCCGGCGCGGATGCACAAAGTTGAGCGTCTCCAGCGGCCCATGATCGTTCGGCATCGAGCGACCCGAGCTTTTTTCGGAAAGCCACGCCCGTTGAAGGTTGAATGGCCCTCGCGGTGTCAGAAACCGACGCCCACGTCGGCACGACGCGGCAGTGGCCGTATCCTCAACCCGTGGAATCCCCGCCAAGATTCCGTGGTGCCGCGAACAACAGTCAGGCCACTCCTAGCAACGGAGTGAGTGGCTCCTGGCGCAGGCTGGGGGCCGCGGGCGGCGCGCCAGCGCTCACCCCGTAACCGTGGCTGCGGGTCTTTGCCCGACCGCAGCGTCTACAGAGCTGCTCTACGGGGAGTGGCATCCGGAATAGGGGCCAAAGTGCTCCACAACGCAATTCAGTCACCGTGGTCAGGCGACGCACCGTACCGAGTTCGGGCCGTGCCAATTGCGTTGGTCGCTGGGCCCTAAGACCACCCTTGTGGCACCACACCTGATTGCTGGTCTGTGCGTCTGGGCATGATTGCTGGCCTCCGTCGGAGGCCTGGGCATGACTGCGGGCACTGGGCCTGGGCATGATGGTCAATGTTGCTGATTGGTTTCCGTGGGCCAGGTCGGGCCACTCGCGGCGAGTTTCCCGCTCGAAGTTTTAAAAGTGCTCTGTTGAAGTGGGCTGCTCAACGTCCGCGTCACGGCCCCTAAACGCTCCTGGACGTGCATCGGTACCGCATGTTCGCAGGCCCATTTCATGTTGGTCAAGTGGGGTGCCCGTTTTCACCTCCCTTTCACACGCGCCACCACCACCCTGTGGCTTCTCACACGCTTCCTCACGCAGCTGGACCCTTGAGCTGCCGAGTGTCTCCCTGCCCGCGGGGTTCCGGTGACCTCTTTGTCGGGTGGGCTCACGCCCTACCACCTGACTAGGTTTTCACCTCTTTCTGTGCGCCTTGCGCTCTTCTTAGGCACTCTCTCTTCCCAGGCGCTTGCAGCTAACTTTAAGTCAGGCGCTTGCCGCTAACTTCACGTCGCACCTGTCCTGAGCAGGCCACAACTGCGCGCTGCGTGTGTGTTACCCTCCTTGGGGCGCGCATCAATCAATTCGGGCACGTGTGAGTTCATATCATCAGACACTGTACATCTCACTCAACAAGTTATTTGCAAGCAACAGTCATGACGGCATTTTTGTTGACAGATCTCGAACTCGGGGATCGGGTGCCTGGGTCCTCCAGTCCCTTCCCCCTCAGGTCGGCTCCAAGGCACCACGGGTGGCGACATTTCAGGGGCAACGTCGAAGGGGGACTGGGCTCAGGGGGAGATGCATCGATCCCCAACCGTCCATCCGTCGCTGATAATTGGTGGCCTGATAGCCAACCCCTCTGGGGAGCGTCAGGATTCGCTATCAGGAGCCTGTCGCCGATTTATCGGCGATGGATCGCCAATGCCAGGTCGATGTTTCCCCCCCTGAGCCGGTCCCCTCCTACGGTACGCACCTCAAATCATTGCCAGCAGGTGCTCCACGGACGTTTCTTATCCCCCTATGACCCTTGTCTGGGACACCTCCAGATCGACGAATCATGTGCACAAGTGTATATATACATTTATATATACACACACGTATGTATATATGAAAACCCGTCGGGGGCGTTTTTTCCTGTTACCCGTATAGGGACCGCGCGTCTTGGGCGTGACAGCGAGGCGTTGGCGAGTGGAGCTGAGTGTTGAGAATTCGTTTCTTCACTGGCTAGCGAGTCCAAACATCGTGAAACGGTCCCAATAGGAGGAGGAGGTGGAGGAGGAGGAGGAGCAGGAGGAGGAGGAGGAGGAAGAGGAGGAGGAGGAGGAGGAGGAGGAGGAAGAGGAAGAGGAAGAGGAGGAAGGGGAGGAGGATTCGTCCTCCTCCTCTTCCTCCTCTTTGTCCTCCTCCTCCTCCTCCTCCTCTTCCTCGCCCGCGGTGGCCTCTGGGCGTCGCCGGGGGTCCTCTGGAGGCCCCCGCAAGGAGGCCCCCAGGGACCTCCTGGAGGCCCGAAGACGTCCCAGACATGGACAAACACATCCCTAAATCTCCATCATCGATCCTCGAACGTGGATCCCTGAGCCTCATTGCTCGAGCCTCCTCCCCTTTCTCGCCCGCCCCCCCCCCGCTTCGAGGTCAGCGCAGCTGCGGCCGACGAGGGCGAGACGCCACTTGCCGACGACGAAACGCCAGCCACCAAAGCGAAGAAGAAAAAGAAAAAAAAGGTGAAGAAAGGCGACGAGGAGGATCCTGCTTTTGCCTTCAGCGAGGAGTAAGGACGAGGACGAGGGCAGAGATTGAAGTTTTCGGCTGTTCTTGGGATCCTGGGGGCCCCTAGTGCCCTAGTGACCACTGCTGGACGCGGCTCGAACAACTTGTCAGTGCATCTTCCAGGAAGGGGTCCACGGACAGGCTTTTCAGCGAAAGAAGATGTGCCACCCCCAGCACCTTCCATCTCGAAGTTTGCTCCCAAGTTTAGGTGTTTTTTTTGCAGGCCCGCTTCGACGGGAGGGGCCATGACATATCACAGTCGGGAGGGAGCATTGGTCGACTACACGAAAGAGTGCCCCTTCGCGGGAGTGACCTTTGATGCGGGCTCATGGGGTCCCCCGATCGCCGAACGCGATGCGATGGTGGCGTCTTGCGCGCTTGTGTTTGGACCCCTCGCCCCCCTCCCCCTCCCCCCAAAAAAAACGCCGCGCTTCAGACCCGAACCAGGGTCGGAGGCGTGGCGCTGCGATGGGATGAGTCCCGCCCCCCTCTCCCCTCCTGCCTCCGGCCTCGCCTCCCTCCCCTCCCCACTCCTCCTCCCCCCTTAGTCTGCCGAGACGGTGGCTTTGCTGCTGTCCGAAAGACGTAGTCAGGAGCAGTCCGCACGTTGTTCGACCGCGTCCCGACCGACCACTCTCACCCAGGGCCACTCCTGCGCGTAGCCGACTTGGTCCCGGGAACTGTTCGGGAGCTCCGATCTGCACGAACGAAATGGGTACGGAAAGAATGGGTACAATGCCCAACAGCAGTCCCTGTTCATTTTGAACAGGACTCGCTGTCCGCGCCGCCGCGGCCTGTGTCCATTTGAAACAGAAGGCCGCCTGCCCAACAGCGGCCGCTGTTGGTTTGGGACAATATTTGTTGTTAGGCATTGTGCCCAGTTTTTTCCGTACCCATTTCGGGCGTCCAAAGTGTAGCCGACTTGGTCCCGGGAAATTGTTCGGGAGTTCCGAGGGCCCACGCCAGGGACAAGAACAACACGCGGCGTCCTCGAGGGCGCGAAGTTATTCGCGCTTCGCGCTTCGCGGCTCGGCTCCGCTTCCTCTTCATCCTCCTCTTCTCCCAGTGCGAGGCGGCGCGAGAGCGCGAAGTGATTCGCACTGCGCGCTTCGCGCAGCGCGCAGCGCGAAGCGCGAAGTTGGGAGCCCTTGGGGAGCGACTCGGGATGAGGAGCTGGTCCCCGGGAGTGGGTCCAGAGCGCTGGGCGCCCGCGCGAGAAGGTCAACGACGCCGGGAGGTAGGGCTGGGGGCGTCACCACGGCACCCGGGGGCCGACCTCGAGGAGAGGGAAACTGCCAAGCGGGAGATCGGGTGGCGCGGCATCCTCGAGACAGCGGTTCCCGGATGCAGAGACCCGATGCTACTTTTTTCCTCAACACGGGGCCCCCCAAAGTCCCGACCCTTTCCCCAGAGCTGGCTTTGCACCAGCAGGTTTTCGATGGTCGCCAGGGCCTGGCGAGGGCCGCAAGGGGCCTGGCGAGGGAGCCCTTGGAACAGCGCGCGGCGTCAGACGTCAGAGGCCCGAGCTGCCCCGGGCGTCTCGGCGGGCGGATCCTCCTCTCCCCGCCCCCCCTCGGGGCTGCCTCCCCGGGGCCGGCCCCCCCTCCGCGCCCTTCGCTGCACGGCTCTGACGTCCCGGAGTTCCCTACGTCCCTCCCGCCTCCTCCTCCTCCGCCTCCTCCTCCTCCTCCTCCTCCTCCTTCTCCTCCTCCTCCTCCTCCTCCTCCCTCCTCCTCCTCCTCCTCCTCCTCCTCCTCCTCCTCCTCCTCCTCCTCCTCTTCCTCCTCCTCCTAAGCTCCTCCTCCTAATGCTCCTCCTCCTCCTCCTCCTCCTCCTCCCTCCTCCTCTCCAGTTACTGCTCCTCGGCTTTCCCTCATTTCCCCTCGGCCAGTTCCGGCTCCTGCTCTTCGTCCCCCCCCCCCCCCTCTCTTTCCCCCTCCCCCCCCTTGCTGCTCTCTCTCTCCTCCTCCTCCTCCTCCTCCGTCTCCTCCTCTTCCTCACCGTTCTCCTGCTCCTCCTCCTTCCCCCCTCCTCCCCACCTCCCCTCTGCCCTCTCGTTCCCCAGGTGCCCCCCTGCGCCCTCCTCCCCTCTCCTCGTGGCCCTGCCACCCTCACTCCTCTCTGCTCCGCCCTCCCTTCATCTACCTCCCTCTTCTTCTCTCCCTTTTTCCTTCTGTCTCCTCCTTCGCCAGAGCCCCCCCCCTCCGCCCCGCATAACATGCGCAGATGTAAGCCTGGAGCATGCGCATAACAGACAATCGAAACAACCTTCGCCACGAATCGTAGTCTGCTACCGGACACCCGCAAGTTGCGCTTGTTGTGTACTGCGCAGGCAGTAGTGTAGAAGCCAGGAGATGCTGTACAACGGTGCCTCCAACAGTGCTGGGCGTAACGCCAGTTTGACCCTTGGCCACTCAACGTACAACCTCATTCTTCCTCACCCCTCTCTCATCCCGCAGCCCCTTTCGCCTCCTCACCGCCCCCCGCGCTCCTCCTCCTCCTCGCCCCCCGCCACCTCCGCTCAGCGCGCCCGCAGAGAGAGTGCGAGCCAGGGGTGCCAGGGCGGGTCGCCGTCGGGGCAGAGAACCCCCCCTGGCGACGAGGCCCCCTGTGTCCGACGTGACTGCCACACGAGCGATGCCTGACTCGCGCGTTCCATTCAGTCAACCCGCGTGATGAAGATGGGCATCCTTGCGAAGGGTACCGTCGCATCCTTGCCTCCTCGGTCCATCCCTGGCCACTTTCGTCGGCCCCGCCCCGCTCGAGAAGCTTCGACATGGGCGTCCAAGCGCTTGCATGCTTCTCGCGCATGCTTATGACACGGGTTGCTAGTGTGACTCACGCTCTCCACGTCGGCAACAGCCGCTTCAGCTGTCGCCTTCTCCTGGGGTCAAATGTCGACCCCCAGGGCCATCATCTCGGCATCGCTCGGACGTGTGTTTTTTTTCCTCGGCGAGGACCATCGAGGAGCATCCTTGATCATTTGGCGAAAAAACCACGCACGAAACCGAAAAAAGCACACGGAATGGACGTCCGAGCGATGGCGAGTCATGGGGTGCGCACCAGCCGCACTTCCGAGCCATGTCCGGCCGCGGCGACGAGGGCGCCCCAGGAGCCCCCCCCCCCAACGGCGAGAGCGTCCCGATCCTCGGAGCTCGATGTGGCTGGCAGCCTCGGCCTCGCCCCCCTTCCTCCTCCGCTCGAGGAGGAGGAGTGGAGTGGAGCAATCGGACGTAGTCCGTTCGGAACCCAGAGATGCCAGGGGGGCCATCCAGTATTTCTCGGAGGGCCGTGGGGGGCGACATCCCACGGCCCACCGCGACAGGCCCCCCTGGCCTCACAATTTACTCGGAGGCAGCTCCCGCCGCGTAGGAACCGATCGCGGCTTCGGCTGCCGAAACGTGCAAAGCCTCTAGCACTGACTTGCTGGGACCCGATCTGGACGGGTGGAGGCCTCGCCTGATCCTGCTGAGGTTCTCGAGGCCTTTGCCAGTGGGTCCCAGGGCCCTGCGCTCTCCCACTTGGTGGGAGAGAGGGCACGGCAAAAGTAGGCTTTTAACCTGGTGCGTGGCCGTGTGGCCGCACTTAACACAGAAAAACAATTGCCACTTGGGGATGGTGGCCAAAGTGTGGGAGGGGTGGATCAACTTGCCACTGATCACGCGGGGACCCCTCGACCACAACACCTCTCCACACGCAGCGAACTCGGGAAGGGGGCAAGGCGGCACACACTCTGTGGCGGCAGCTGGAATAACGTGGCAAGCGTCAACGATGATGAGGCAGGCAGGGCATCTCCATTTGTCTGCACACCGCTCGAATTTGTGCTGAGAAGCCGCGATCGCGGTCTGCAACTGAGAGCGCGGGGCTGCCTCCTGGTTGGATTGCCTCTCTGGCCACTGTCCTCGAGGCTCTGAATTCTTGCCTAAAGAACGTAGAATCAGTCGTGCCCTCTGTCGGACGATGGCTGCAATAGCGTCGTATTCATCGGTCCTGGGGACGGGCGGGAGGGCAAGGGTGGCCGACTTGTGGGCCGCGCTTCCCGCGAGCTCGTCGGCATGCTGGTTGCCGAGAGCCAGAAATTTTTGGAAACCATGCAACGTGAGGGGATCGGCGTGAGATGGGGTCCAGAGCACCGTGACCGAAGAGCAGCCGCCAGATCGATCCTGCACGAGGTGCCGAATTCTCAGCCAGAGATCCCCATTCTTATTCTTGCCTCTGAGGCTGCCAGGTCTGAGACATCTGCCATTCTGCCAGCCGCGCTGCAGGGCTAGGTGATCAGTAACAAACGTGAAATCCTGCTGGCACGTCTCCAGTGCCAGGCAAAACGCATGCAATTCGCCTCTTGGGACGGTCTGGCGGGGGCCTGGGAGGGGGGCGAGGAGGCCCGCGTGGAGGGTCCAGGAGGCCGAGGGAGGGTCCCATCGGAGGGCCGCGAGGCCAGAACCAACACGGCGTCGCCTGACGTCGTCGGAAAAGGCGCCGCCAGACCCGTCGCCAAAAAGAAACAACTCGCCCTCAGCGTTACGAGCTCCTTCCCACGACGGCAACCCCTCCCGCACCGCACCAACAAACTCCCACCCGTCCCTCCCAGTCAATGGCTCGAACGCGGGCGTAGTGAGAGCGACAGAGGGGATGCCACGGAGCCACAGGGCAGGGTCAGCATTGGCCCCCGCCACGGCTCGCGGTAGTAACTTGTCACTGGCCTCAAACTCAGGTCCCACATTCGCCTCGCACTGCCACATTCGGTGAAACAAGGTTTCAGGAACTCCTGCGCTGCATCGGTCGCAGTTCTTGTCGATCTGGTAGCCCGCGTTGTGGAGGCGGTCTCTGGTCCATTGTCCACCACTGATGACGGTGTTGTTGAGGGCCCAGTCGCTGAAATCACCGTTTGCGAGGAGCCTCCTTTGTTCAATGCGGATGGTGACCATGTCCGCACCTCCAGCCAGCGTGTCACCATGGTCATGCGTAGCGGCCT